TGCTAGTGTACTGTATTATGTAGTGCCAGTGCTAGCCTATAGTCTGTTTCAAAAAGATTAGCAATCAAGTTTAGGTCTTAAAAAGTATGAAGATAAGGGAAATCTGGACAACAAAGTACATAAAACGGCTTGTTAGGGCACGGCAAATTGTTCTGTGAAGGTTTCGGAACAATTGGACCAACCGTTAAGGAGTTAGTATTTCGGCCAGGTTTCTGGCCTTTTCCCATGGTTTATAATTTGCCCTGGAAGCCAGTATCGATTTGTTATCAAAACCCACGATTTATCCTTTCCTTTTTGGCCTAGTGGTTATGAATGCTGTCTGCTGACCATGAAGTTGTGAGTTCAAATCCCAACAAATCTTCAAGTCAAACATTTTTTCTTCAATTTTTTTTCATTGTTTTGGTACAAGACAAAGAAGGTGGCTGCGCCAATTCCCCAAGCGACTTGTTGTTGGAGCTCGCGTTTCCTGCCGAACTGACTGACACTTGAATGACTGGCTCACGCCAGTTGTGAACACACACAACACTGAAACCGTGTGAGTGAACACGGAAGTCATTGCGCTGTAGCTACGTGTTGTTGAATAAACCGGCACATCGCGATCGATCGATTTCTGTTTGAGAATTATTTTAGTATTTGAAGATCGCCAATTTATTTGAATTTAGGAGTCAACGCCGTCTTCTATCAGCTTTCACAGGCGTCTGCTTTCTCAAAATGTCGTCGAAGTCACACGGATAACTTTGCCACTTCAAGGCCTTGGGAATGAGTCTGTGTCGATGCCGTTTTCGTCACATCGTGAGAGTAAATTGCATCCGCGGCAGCTCAAAGAATCTATTTGGTCACAAAACGGACGCATCCCGCTCGTCAAAATTTACCACACTTTCGACATGTCCTCTCTGACATGTCTCTCTCCACATCGATGCGAGGAAGATCGTCAGTGAGTTGTCATTTTTCATGCTTTCGCGCGGAATATTTCTTCGAGTTCACAGTGAGTTTTTCCAGGCAGCGCTCGAGCGCTCATACGGTAAGACGGCAAACTCCCCGGGCGATCACCAGGATTGCTAATTTAGAAAAGCGATCCTGTCAGCTTTTCTATTATTGTGTTCACATGGCAGAAAAAACGACACCGCTATGCTACGTAAGTTTCTACGTAAGGTGCTCGGTACTTCAATTAGGCTACGTAAGTTTCTACGTAAGGTGCTCGGTATTAGATCTACTAACGCGTGGTAGCCGCGTGCTGTGCACGTGCACGGCAGACATTGTGTTGCATGCAGTGCAGTCCGTTTTCGGATGTGCATGCGCGAGGAACTTCCTTCTTTGGAACTGCTTCTTGCATGAGCTGTTTCGGATATTTCGTCTCCTGGCCTGGCTTATTTCGCTTCGGCTCTGCTGAGACCTCTTTTCACGGAATATTACTCAATGACAGGTGAGTTGACCAGTTCCCTTTGATTCATTTGCTTGTGTTGACTCTTTCATTTACGAAAAGTGTGCTGATTTTAGGTGGAATACAATAAAATTAATAATGGAAAAGCTGACAGGATCTATTTTCTAAATTTAGCTTTTCTGCTGTCGAGGCCTCCTTTTACGGAATACTCAATGACAGGTGATCTCTGAGTTGACCAGCTTCCTTCGATTCATTTGCTTATGCTCACCCTTTCATTTACGGAAACGTGTGCTGATTTTATTCGGATTTAGATCCATTCGTACATGTATCTCTTTGCCCTTGCCAACAGTGTGCGAAGAACGCGAGTTCACCTTCTTGACGGTAAGGCTTATGTTGCTGCTGAGGCTAGATGTGTTGTCGAAATACTCATGTTCATTGTACATTGGTACATTACAAGTAAGGCACTGGTCATGATTGCTTCCGGCATTCCGTGCTCCGATCATAGGGTAGAATCTGAATTTTGCAGTGGCATAGCATCGTTGGCAGTTCCCAATCTGGAGGGAAAGGTTCAAGGACGCATTGGCCGAGTACTAGTATGCAAAATAAATTCGCATATCAGGGAAAATCTCCATTATAGAGAGGTTCATGCATTCAGTGACTTGTTTGCTTCATACGAAACAAGCCAATGGGTGCAGTCTCGTCTCGTGAAAATCTCGTACGATTGGATTTGTTTACTCGAGTCTGGGCTGTTTGATTTGTGAGTAGCGCCGAGATTGCACTGCCCCAAATAAAGTTGCGTGCCGGTAGAGCAAGAATTACGATCTGCAATCTGTTTGTTGTACCTGCAAGAATGTGCTATACATGTATCGTATTTTCTCTGTTGTTGTTTCAGTTGCCGTCATGTTGCTAAAGAAAGGTTCAGTGACTCATTTGTTTCATAAAAGACGAGTCAATGGTTTGGTCTGGCTTAGAATCTTTCGCTGTAGAAGAAATCTATTCGTGTCTCTATTGGAGAAATAATTGTATTCACTCGTTATAAAATAGGGTTAACACAAACTCACAGAGCAAATGCCATCGGTCCCTTGATGTTCGTCCTAAAAAGGTTTGACTGGATATCATTCATACTCCCCCGAAGTCGTGTAACATTTTACTATTATGGAGTGCCTTGTTTATCTCTAAGTACGTAAAACCGTATATCCTTGCCCCTTATATCCTCAGGGTCAGTGTAGTTGTTGGAACGAGGTGTCGGACTCAGCGATGCATTTGTTTACATTTTAATGCATGTTTATTGTTCCTACTTTGCTGTGTTGTTTTAGACAATCGTGGACACTTTGAAGTCACTGAACTGCTTCCAAAAGTTTTATCGACATCAACAGGATTACGATTTCACTACAATATGATGCCGGATGACCTTATCACGACAACCCATGACTACAATAAACACAGAATCAACAAAAACATCTGCGGCACACACCTGGTTACAATTCTCAAGTAAATGTGATTTAGGGTGTGGACATCTGAATTTTCTGAAAGACAAGACAATTTTATGACAGTCATGAAATTCTGCAACATCCACAGAATGACTTGCGTATAAAAAAAGTATCACCGCCACTACCTATATGATTTCCCTGAAGAAGAACATGAATACATGTATGCAAGACTAGAGTTCCATTTTCTGCAAGAAAGGCTTGCACATCAATGCGTATAATACGGTATTGAATTTGATATGATACACATAGGGGCTCCCGTAAGAAGAACATACACTACTGTAGGTCTGTGGGAAACACCCTAGTAAAATAAATAAAATAATAATAATAATAACATGCAGAGGCGCTACATGTACATATGTAGGCCATCATTAGGGCATTCCATTGGTTACACAATTATATCCTTTAGCCAAAAAAAACAAAAGAAATTATAGCAATAAAAACTGCTTTATGGCAGTTTTCTAAAAAAGGTTATTGTGTTCTAGTCCATGGACCCCGTCTAAAAAGTAAGAAATTAACGAAATGTGATAGCCGAAAATTAAAATTTCACACAAAACCTCACAATAATCACACACAGGATGCGAGACGACCTTTTCCCCTCGTGGTCCTCTTTCATATGCAAGCATGTTGGCGCAGTACATGTACTTGTACAAGTACAAGTGTCGGAATAAACAAGTGTTGAAAGCCGTACTATTAGATCTTCAAGTGTCGTGATTATTGTGAGGTTTTGTGTGAAATTTTAATTTTCGGCTATCACATTTCGTTAATTTCTTACTTTTTAGACGGGGTCCATGGACTAGAACACAATAACCTTTTTTAGAAAACTGCCATAAAGCAGTTTTTATTGCTATAATCTTTTTGAAACTGACTATAGTACTACTACTAGTAGTAGTACCGGTAGTACTATAACGTGTAGTAGACATACATGTAGGCGGTGCAGACAGCAGACTGCAGTGCCAGAGCTAGAGCTACACTAGACTAGAGCCCTCCTGTAGATCCTGTGAAACGTTCAGATTTTTGTATTCCCTACTGTAAGTTAGTTTACGAAGGGACAATGCGCCTAAATCTCTCATGAACACGGTGACCTACCGTATTTCCACAAATAGCACGCCGGTCTACTATTTTTTCAACCTCGTCCGAACCCGGCCTTATAATCGAGGACGGTCTTGTATTCGAGGAAGGTCTTTTATTCTTTCAACCCAGTTTGACCCCCGGTCTTCTATTTCTCGCCACACAGTTTTACCCCCGTTCTTCCATTTTTTTCTACACAGTTTGAGCACGGTCTTCTATTTTTTCCCACAGTTTGAGCACGGTCTTCTATTTTTAACACAAGAACAAAGACTCATTTAGTAGGCCCGGTCTTCTAATCGGAGACGGTCTTTTATTTTTTCAATCGCCCCCTGCCCCGGTCTTGTATACGAGGAAGGCGTTGTATACGAGGACGGCCTTTTATTTGTGGAAATACGGTATCTCTAGAATAGACTAGATATCATTCTGTCATGTATTATTATTATTACGGGGGATTAGCAAGACGAAATTCGTGTTCGCGTTCGCAAACATTTTTCAGGTCGCGAACTGGATTGCGAACTTTCGCAGTTTTCGTTCGGAAAAGTAGTCGGAACACGAATCGCGGATTCGTGTCAGAGCAGTCATAAATCTACCACGCTGTACCTGTACATCGTGTCAACGTCATGCACATGCGCGAATTCTGTTTGCTATCCTTCTCATAACGCGAATTCCGTCACCGAGTTCGACTTTCCTTGGAGTGCGAACGTACGCGAACGCGAATTTCGTCTTGCTAATCCTCCGTATTATTAGTATTCCCGGGTCTACCGACTCTACGTGCTAGCTCGTTGCAAGGTCTACGGAAACCCGGTTTTCCAACACTATTTTGCCAGAATGATTTCTCCGTTCGTACACGTACACGCGGGCGCGGCCGTAGACTGACTTTACTTGCTCTGCGCACCGTGTTGCTCGTTGTTTTCTCATGCTGCATGCTTCATTATGCATACAGTCATATGTACATGTGCGGAGCTACAACTAACACACATACAACTACAACTTGGATCATGGTCATGGACATCAACGGACGGTGTACAAAAATTTGATGTTTGGAAATTTTATGCCCAGGT